GGATCGCCTGCGGCTTCAGGTCCGCCAAATACACGGGCGGGACAGCACAGGAGACCTGCCGCGCGCACTCCGCGGCCTCCACCCTGTACATGATGTCGCGGTCGCCCTCGAGCTGCTGCAAGCGCGCGGCCAGGGCGCCACCCATGCGAGCGACGCCGCCGCGCGCGCGGCACCAGGCCCGCAACAGCCAGAGCTCCGCGGACACATCGCCCGGCTCGCCCGTATAGTAGCCGCGCCGCCCCTGGGGGAACACGTCGGCGGCGAAGCCCGACTCCACGGCCTCAGAGAAAAACGCGCCGCCATGGCCAGCCCACGATTTCGGGATACCGAAGACGCGCGGCCACGGCGCCAGCCTGCTCCCGTCGGGCCCCGCGCGCTGGTACCAGGGCTCCAGGGCGTGTCGCTGGTCGAGCTGCACGCTCGCTTCGCAAGTGTCCTGGCGGAAGCACTCGTCCTCCAGCAGGAGGCGACGGAACACAGCGAATCCGTTCTCCCCCCTCGCCGCGCACTGGGCCGCCCGCGCGCGCTTCCTGGCGCGGGCGCGCTCCGCCTCCACCGCCTCGCGCTTCACCGCCTGGCTAGGCAGCTTCTTCGGCGCGAAATGCAACCTCTTACACCAACCATCAACCTCTCCGTCGGTCAGCTCCCGCGCGCCCTCGAAATCCTGCTGGCACTTGTAGCACAGGAAATCGGAGGCCAGGCGCAGGAGCACGCTGCCGTGCACCGGGGCGCCAGCAGCGCCGTCCCGCCGCGCCTGCTCTGCGTACCGCGCCTGCCGCGTCGCCTCGCGCACCTCCCCCGGCCTCCAGACCTCTCCCTCGGCGGCGTCCAGCGACGGCAGCAGCGGCGCGCGGACCGGCCCAGGCTTGCCGTCGTCGCGGAGCGGCGCGCGCCAGCGCAGCGGCTCGGGGCGGCAGCAGACCCAGACCTCGCGCTCCACGCCCTCCTGCTCGAGCCGTTGGAGCAGGCGCTGCCACTGCTCCCAAGGCTCCCGCACGTCCGACTTGGGCACGGGCGTGCGGCGCAGCAGCTCGGGGTCGGCCTGGCGCAGGCGCCGGATCGCCTGCGACCGCGCCACGTTGTCCTGCGCCGTGGCCGCGTCGAGCCCCAGGGCGACGCCCCGCAGCCGCTCCAGCTCCGCCACCTGCCGCTGCAGCTCCGCGTCCGGGGCCTCCCCCGCGAAGAACCTGTGCGCGACGGGCACCGACGACAGCATGCAGGTCGCCAGCACGTACCGCGCGAAATCCTTGTGCTCCTCGCCGATGCCCGTGGGCAGCTCCTCCTCGTCCGCCATGCCCTGCGGCTCTTCCTCCGCGTCCGCCATCGCTGCGTCTCCCTCCTCCTGCTCCCGCCGCTCCTCGTCGCCCTTCTCCTGCTCCTGCTCTTCCTGCTCCTGCTCTTCCTCTTCCTGCTCCTCTTCCTCCTGCTCCTGTTCTTCCTCCTCCGCATCCTCCCCCCCCAGCGTCTCGCGGCGCGGCTCTTCGGCCGCGGGGGCAGCCATGGCTTCGCGGACCCGCCTGTCTTCGGCCAGGGCAGCGAAGACGTCGAGCCCGAGCGGGGCGCCCTGCAGCGCGTCCACGTACGACGAAAGGGTGCCCACGAGCGCGGTCTTCACCCGCCGAGCGAGCGTCCTGTCTGCCCTCTGGAACCTAGCGAACATATCCGGCGTGACCTCCGCGCGCCGCTCCTCCGCGAGGCAGTCGGCCGGGTCCTCCCCCTCTTCCTGCTCCTTCTCCTCCTCGCAGGCCTCCTCCTCCTCCGCCGCGCGCTGCAGCAGCTCCTGCCGCCGCGCCTCAGGTCATAGATCAGCAAGCAATTTGTTTGGTGACGGACCCATCCCTATGCAGACATGTGTAGTGCAGATCGCGGGTCTCTCTTCATGCATTGCGCGCCACGGGGCAATGTGGAAAGATGGTTGCTGCGGAGCCCGCGTGCAAGGGTTCGTTGAACTCCTTGTTGGCTACGATCCGCGTGAAGGACATGCCGAATAATTCGGATACCCCCGAGGCATGTTCCGAAATTGGCGGGGGGATGCCGCGCGAAGCTGCCCATTGGTGCCATGGGGGGACCTCCTCCTGGGGCATGATTCGCGTGACAGGTGTGCCGACATGGGCGGGGGGGTGATGTGCGAACCTTGTCTCTGGGCTTTTAGGCTGTTTTCCTTGTGGGCACGATCCGCGTGATGGGGTGTGCCACAATGGTGAGGTGGGGGGCGCAGTGCGAACCCTGCCTCTGGGGCCGTAGGTGGAGATCCCTGTGGTGTGCCGACGTAGGCGGGAGGGCGGGATGCGAACCTTGTCTCTTGGGGCCGTTCGTGGAACTCGTTGCGGACCACGATCTGTTTGAGAGGGGTGCCGAAGTGAGTGGGGCGGCGCTATGAAGCTTTCCTATGGTGCCGCAAATGCAGTTACTTGCGGGGCCACGATCTGCGTGAGTGGCGTGCCCCTGTGCGAACCTTTCCTCTGGGGACGAAGGTGGAGCTCCCTGTGGGGCGCGATCCCTGTGAGAAGTGTGCCGACATGGGCGCGGGGACGCTACGCCAAGTCCGTCTCTAGGGCCGCAGGAGGAGCTTCCTGAGTGGCACGATCCGTGTGACAATCTACGTCCGCCGATGCCGAGCACTTCGTAGACTACAACTAGAGCGTGCTAGAACCCAAGCGCGCGCGAAGGATGCGCGCGTGGTTCTAATTTACATACATACATACACACACATACATACATACATACAACCACACATACATACATACATACATACATACATGCATACATACATACATGCATGCACGCATACGTACACACATACATACATACATACATGCATGCATACATACATGCATACATACATACACACGTGCGTACATACATGCCTACATACACGCATACATACACACGCACGTACGTACGTACATGCATACATACTCATCGACATACACATACATACACACATTAACACATACATCCACCCATCCGTCCATACATACATACATACGTACGTACATACATACATACATACACACATACACACACACACACGCATACATCCATACGTACATACATACATGTATGCATACATACATGCACACAACCAACCATGCACACACACATACGTACATACATACAACCATACAAACGTACACACATACATGCATGCATGCATACA